AACACATCACGAGTCTTGAAAAAATCGAAGTCAAGACTCGTGAATGTGAAAGTGGACAATTCACAACACTAAGTGTTGGAATTTATTAATTTAGGCATTGTACACATTTGTATCATTATATGTAATTTATGCAATATAACAGGTAGAAGTGGACATGCAATTCAACAGAACTGCAGGCCAAACCAACAAGTTTTATGCCGAAAAGTTAGCAATTGAGCTTTGTATCTGGATATACTATTAATCATGTGGTTGAATTATATATAGTATTTTATCTAATCTCTTGTAAATACTATTTATTTCATTTTAGTTGATATAATAAAGTCTTTATATAAATAGTGTTAATATATGTGTCCATTATTTATATAGTAGACGATTTTTATGTTTGGAGTTATTTAATTCATACACAAAAGATTAAAATTGTCGGTTCTTATAAGTTATAAATTAAATATTCACAATCAAGGATGAAGTTTGAAAAAAATCTTGATGATTGTAGCACAAGATTAAAATATAATTCTATCTTAATTATGAGAATGGTTAAATTCTAATTTCTTGTGCTAGTACATTCTGTGTGTATTGAACGGACCAATAGAGATGTTTGTCTATGTTTTGAATAATTATAAACAACTTCTCTAGTCCATTATGTGTACTTATACTCTTAATCATGGTATAATTATTATGATCTATGTAGCTTGATTTATTATTTTAATCTATTAAAATGTGAGACTATATTATGAGTCAATATATTCCTAATAGATTTGGTAATGACAAATCACATTAGTGAAATAATAATTAGTTGATAGAATCATGTCTCAGACTTGAGATAGAAGACATCCCTTTATGGATACTTATAAGTTCTCACGTGAAAACCCTGCATTTGGATTTTATATCCGCCATGTGGAATAAGTTAAGTATAATAATAAAGGATTAAACTAGTCAATAAATCAAATTATTCAAAAAATTTAGTTTAATTGATTGGTGTCAGTAATTCTAACATGGGAAGTCAAATAAGATGTAATCGTCGATTTTAAAATTAAATCGAGGAGTGCAATTACAAATATTTAGTGGAATAATTTATAATTTATTGCAATATGATTAATTTGTTCTTTAGCGAATTAATATTGTAATAAGAAGCATCAATTAATAAATTTATGGTCCCTACTATGCATGACTAATTAACCAGTTATTAAAAGAAGAAAAGAACTGTTCCGGAATAAAAAGTAACTTTTACTATTCTTTTGCAAAGAATGAATTATTGAATTTAAATAATTTGTTGTAAAACTTAAGAACAAAAGAGCAATATAAAGATGAAGACAAGAAGAATATCAGACAAGAGGAACAATATGAGGTAACGTTCTTTCTTTCAAGTGTTCACCAAATCTTCAAGTGTATACAATATGAACCCTTATACCTCTATTTATAGTGTAACATAGAGGCATACAAAAGGCTAGTCATAAACATGAATATAATGGGGGAGGTTATGGAAGTGAAAGGTTATAAGAATAATAGTTATAAAAGTGGAGGTTATGGTTAACTTCATAATGGGGGAAAGTAATGGAGATAATGGTTGAGAGTAACTTCTTGGAAAAAGAACCTATCAAGAAACGCGGGCTTAAACTTCTCCCAATAGAGAGGACCCACATCCTCCGGCCTCCCTTCTTTCCATTGGTTATACCACACTTGAGTCACACCTTTCAATTGATAAGCGGTCAATTCTGCCTTTTCCAATGGTGTAACTCCCATGATCATCAACACCTTATAGACCTCATCGATAAACTCTTGAGGATATTTCTCAACTTTAAAACCATGAAACTCCGGAGGGTTCATTCTTGTGAAGTCCCTCACTCTTGAAGCCGCCGAATTCACATTAGGGTTCCTGGGAACTACTACCTCCCTATTTGCTTGGGCCTTCATAGCTTGGGCCAATACTTGAAAAACCGCCCTAGACTCTGCATTTGTAACATGCTTGGCCAAAGGATCGCTCGGAACTTGAGGAGCTTGGGGAGGAGCTAACTGTTCCTCATTCTCCCTCACATTTCTTGCAGCATATGCTCTTCTAGTAGTCATATCCCGAAGAACGTAGGATAAGGATTAGGAGATAGACATTATAGAGTTAAACTCTATCACACGACTTAGGAGTAATGAAATAAGTGGAGTTTCCTAATCACCTTGTAGCTTCTCATTCATAAATGTGGCGCGCTTCACACTCATGAAAAAGACTCTACTAGATGTGGCTTATGAGACATTCTAGGACTATTCTAAACCTTGTGCTCTGATTACCAAGTTTGTCACGACCCAGGGGTACCACCTAGATGTAACATGACGTATAGAACCCCGAAGGACTCCATACAAGCCTCTTAGCTCTCATAACATAAGAAATAGAAAAATAAGAGTAAAAATAGGCCAAGTCCAAAATATTTTATAAACCGAAAAGTAGAAGTCTAAACTCTTGTCTCATCACAACCATTTAATACAATAGATTAAACTGGGCCTAGTCCATACATCATGTCCAAAAGAGAAAATACATGAAAGAAACTAGACAATAAGAATCCGTCCTCTAGGAACTCACCAAAGCTCAGAATCAATCAAGTCACCAACCAACCACAAAACTGAACACCCTGAATATCGGACCCTATATTTGGAAAAAATATAGGCAAGAGTATGCGTTAGTACAAAACAATGTACCAAGTATGATTACCATGCATAAAACATTTAAAAACATGCTAAAATGGACATTTCATTTCATGACATGCAATTGACCAAGTTAAACATCATATGAAAGAGTTATAAAACATAAGTCATAAATCATGATCAATGCAAGCCAACATCATCTTTAAAATCTTTGAACACTACGAGATGCTTATTTAAGCATGCCTTAGCTCATAATTAATCTTGTTGTGGGAATTAGCCTTAACTGACAAGAGACCATGTGAGCTATTACATGATCCTTGATGTTTCCCACACCGAAAAGGGTTGGTCTACTTGCCTAAGGTAGAACCATTAACTCTTAGCTTATGTGGATCCACTATCTAAACATCCTACGGGGGCACGCAATTTATGGGATAAAGAGATTGTTACTAGAAACCCCACCTTTCTACGGGAGAACTTCCATCTCAAGAGATTGCTTCTAGAAACCTGGCCTTTCTACGGGAGAATTTCCATCTCAGTACAATATCCACACGGTGCTAACCATAAATCCCACAAAATAGTTATTAAGTCTTGACTTATCTCATAATCCATGGAAAGGTGCCCTTGGACAACCAAACCAAGTTAGTTTCATCGGGATAGCTCCTTAGATCATACGTGAGAAAACCTTTCACCGTCCATGATCTTTTATAATAGTTTTTAATCTTTGATTCAATTAGGTGAGAAAGCCTTTCAACCTAAGAATCCTTATTATGTGAGAAAACTTTTCACATCATGCTATTTTGTATTTATGAGAATGTCCTTTCAGCAACAGAACAACAACATCATCATTGGTACTTTACTCTCAAAGCACCCTTAAAACATTTGCATAGATTTCATAAAACAATGCATAAGTCCATAATTCACCTCTTAAGGTCAAAATCCACTTTCAATCATAAACTCTTAGAAAACATGGGTTAGATATGGGTTTCATCATATATACATGTAAAGCTTGAAATACATGCTTAATTTCGTAACAATCTTCATTCATAATCCAAACCCACATTATATCATCATAATTGGAAAATATGGGATCTACATGGGTTCATGGGGAGTCATCACAAAAACCATAGTATTTCATCCATTCATGCGTAAAAGATCATAATTCAATCATTTAAATCAACATTAAAGAGAACCCGTGATAATTGAAGAAAACCCTAACTCAATTGAGGAATTCTAATCTTTGGAATTGAGGAATTTGGGAACTCCATGGATGAAAGGAATCCATGGATGAAAACTATCATACCTTACTATCAAAGCCCAAAGAAATTGAAGATGCAAGATTGCTCTTCAACCCTAGTTTGAATCTCCTTCTTCTTCTTCGAGTTTCTAGGAGAGAAATATTATGGAGAGGAAGATCTTTGATTTTCATTTGGGTTTTGGAAATAATGACTTGGATAGGTGAGTTTTGGGGTTAAAATGACTTATATAGGGGTCGCAGGCTTGGGCAAAACGACATAGCTTTGAGTTAAAATAATTGGGAAAAGACCCAATAACCCCTAACTTAAAAACTGCCGAATTGACTCACTGGAAGCTCACCACGGGTCGTCATGACCACCACGGCCCGTCAAACGGGTCGTGAAGAATTTTAGCCTGACAGTTCTTCATTATTTCGGACATAAATTTTTACTGCCAGATGAGAATGGGGAAAATTCGGTGGCCTTGGAAAGAGGACTCATAGACCTTTAATTTGCTAGGTCATAGGCCACCTAATTCGGTTTGAGCTAAAAGATATGATCGTTTGAAATTGACCCTAAAATCTAAGTCTAATGAAAAGCCGTTTAGGTGAGACCCGACGAGCCGCAGTGCCTTTGTGGCCATGATCCAGAAGCTAGGCAACCCTCCCTTTAACCCCTAAAAACTAAGTCACCACCACGATCCTTCCCACGACAAGTGATAGCCTTCACGAGCGGTGAAGTGGCTCGTGTAGAGGGGACTGTTTTGGGTAGCCTTGGTGTGGCTACTGCCTATCCCACCACGAGCGACACCACGAGTCGTGGTGGTGGTCATGGAAGGTGGGGCAGTGTCTATGGAAAGGTGGGCTGCCCTAGCCCTCTTCCTTGGCTCTAGCCCTCTCACTTAGCACTAGTTTAGTCTACTAGATTCCGATATGTTATAGTAGGTGTGCACATCAGTGAAGTTTTGCGCATTAGAGGCAATATGATAAGTGGCTCAACAATCCAAGGAGCCTGTTGAGTTGGAGATCATGCAACATAGTTTGCCCAGGCTTGTAGATGATTGTGTGATTGTGATCTGCAAACCTTAGCAGAATGACCAGGGTGGACACACAACTGGCACTTCAGAGTGAGGTCATAAACCTACTGATAGTCATTGTTGCCAGCACGCCTTGACTGGTTGGTGTTGGGGGAATTTGCATTTGAACGCCTGTTAGAGGTGTTCCCTCGGTGAGGATGCATGTTTATTTGCTGTGCAATAGCAACAGTAATGGGTGTTGAGAGTGGCTTCTTTACTTCTTCATGCTTGATGAAAAGTTCATGATCAAGTCACTTCTCGTAAAGTTCTGGATAAGAGATAACATAATCTCTTGCACAAATATCAGCTAATATTTCACAGAATTCAGGTCCAAGTCGAGTGAGGATGTAACACCCCGACTTTTTTAAACGTCTAAATTAATTCGTACATTCGTGGAAAGACAAGAGGGTGAGTAATAAATTAAAAATGATGTGGTATGTCATATTTTAAGTGTTCAAGGTTTGTATCTCAAGTTTTGAAGTAAGGTAAGTCGCAAAATAAAAGTGGGCAAAAGTTATCGTAAGTTCCTTTTTAAAGATGTAACACCCCTCAAAATGAAGTAGGATAAAGTAGAGCCTCACATGGGTTTTATGCATTAATAACTTGTTAAAATAATGAAGAATAGCCTTTTTAGTCAGTTTAAAGAGTTTGGAAGTCAAATGTCAAGGGACAACCAAGACGTTCGGAAACTAGTGTTTTACGTGTTGGTATGTTCTAGTATGTTGTTCATATTTTTATGTGTTGTTTGGAGTCTAAAATCAGTGGAGGTGACCCTAGTGTTTTAATAAATATTTTTAGGGTCAAAATGTTTGGATACGAAGCCCGGGGGGCCACCCTAAGGGTCCCCGAGGAGGACCCCAACCTTAGCCAAGCAAGCTGCCAAGGCAGCTTGAAGTTGTGCTTGGAGGGAGCATGTCCGTGTCGCGAACTAGCTCCACCAAGGGCCAAATGTTTGGTCCGCGTCGCGGACTCTTCTGTCTCGAAATTTAATTTTCAGAAACTTGTGGGAACACCTCCGCGTCGCGGACTTGTTTCCCGACGAAATCTGCGAAAATAAAACTCAAGTTAGACTTGTCTAAAAAGGTCCAACTAAGTGAGGGGTAGTTTGGGTAATATGTGGGTTATTGTTTAAAGTGTTTTTAAGTATTTTAAAGGTATTTAAAGTTGTATATTGTATTTTAGAATTCATTCTTCCAAATCAAATCCCTTCTCTCCCCAAAAGTTCTCTCTAGAACTCCATTGGAGGCTAGGTCAAGTTAAAGCTACGGTTGAAGGTTTCAAGTGTTTTCTTCTCAAATTTCGTGGGATTCAAGAAGGTTAAGGTATGGGGATCCTTTATCCTTGATTCCTCTTCCATTCAAGGAGCCAAATCAAAGTGTTTTCAAAGTTCTCCCAAAAACCCTAATTTCAATTCTAGCATGGGTTCTTGCATGAAAAACTTTTAAATGATGTTTTATGTTGTTATTAATGATTATTGATGGTTTTAAGAAAGAAATCTTCATGAACCCATGTCTTCTCAAATTCTCTAAATTTGGTCTAAAGTGGGTCTATTCATTTTGAGTAATTGATGAAGGATTTTTGAGTGGTTTTATGTGGGTTGTTCTTATATGATCTTAACTATGTTGAATTGTTGGAAATTGTTATTGAATTGTATAATGTGAGGTAGTAGCCTTGAATGGTCATAAATTGGGACTTAGGCTTTATGTTGGTTATTGGATATTGTTTAGCTTAGCTTGTATAGTTGAATGTTGTTATTATCATTGTTATTGTATTGCTAATTGTTGGAATATGAGGATGATGAAGATAGACATGGAAAAAGGGTAAGTTGACCTAACTTGATGAATAATGTATAAGTGGCACGTAATTGAGTATTGTGCCTTATGGCCTTGGAAAGGTGGTAAGATGGCTTGATCTCTTAATATTGCTATAATTGCTTCTTAGGTTGGATCCACCTTTGGTGGAAGTGTTGCTAGTTGCTTTTGAATTATGATTGTGGCCATGAAGGGCATTATATGAGTATTGTTTTATTATTGTGTTCATATATATAAATGAAGCTATATGTAAAGTTCTATATGAAGCTATATGTAAAGTTTTATGTGAAGCTATATGTGAAGATATGATGTGAATGAGTTTATGTGATCTTGAGATGATCATATGTAAAGTGGATAGCATTGTGATTTAAAATATGATTTCTCATGATGTATATATGTGATGATGTTGGATTATGAAGTGTCCTCAAATGATAATGTTGTGACTTGATTAGTAGACTAAAGTGTCTCTTCTTGTTACTTAAAGTCTTGAATGCATGAATGTGTGAAGTGGGCTAGAACTAAGAAATGGTGCCCTTTCTATAAATACTAAAAGAGGAATTCTAGGTCCAGACTTGAATCGGCAGAACTAAGAAATGGTGCCCTTTCATAAGTCTAACTTTCCTAAGTAGATGTATAACCTTGAAGGATGGGCCTTAGGGCGATGTTCCCTTCTTGAGTGAAATGATAGACTTAGAGATGGATGGAGCCGGAACGGCATGCGAATCCTTATCTTAGAAATTTAAATGAACTATCCTTATGAACCTTGATTGGCTATGACTAAGAAATGGGGCCTTTCTTGGGAAGTGGTACTATGAGTTGGTTGAACTAGAAAAGGAACTCTCTCTAGTACATATGTGATAGAATATTCTATGGGAAACAAGGCTAGCACCGAGTGGATGTGGTTAGGAAGGTGTCCTAGTTGAGTATGAGTTTAGGCACAATGAACTTCCTTGGACATCCCCCAAACCATGTGCCTACATGGGTTGCTTACTAGTTCTACCCTTGGTAAATAGAACAACCTCCACGGAGTAGGATAGACTCCGGATTCCATGCCTAGCTAGTATGGTCTATGTCGGTTATGCCTATTCCCATCATGTGGGATGTGCACTATAGTTATTGGATAGGTTCTACAACATGTAGGTAGTAGTATGGGATGCTATCTACACATGGCACGAGTAGGCTTTGAAGATACTAAAGTGAGTTCCCTAAGTCTAACGACTATTATGTGAAAGTCCCCTTATGTGCTTGAAGGTCTCCTAAGTGGTTTCTTAAAGAATGTTGGTCTATTGATGTTATGTTGTAAAGGAAATGTCCTTATCTAAGGTAATCTTGAGGAACACTTAAGTGTGCTTGACGAGGTCGTATGGGCGGTTACTTCTTGTCTCACTCAAGCGTGTCTTAAGGTTATATTAGGTAGAGGTCCTATGCTAATGAAATTGCATGTGTTTTTCTAAAGTTAAGCATGAGTTGGAAATGGATATGTTGAGTATGTGTATGGTTGGCTATGGTCTTATATGCGAATGTTGACTTGTATTATATCTCTTATACTTGTGAAGTGAAGGTTTTATCAAAAATGATATGAAAGCATATATTCCTTGTAAATGTCTGTTGAAGCATGTTTTTGCATGGTTTCCATACTTAGTACTTAATTGTGCTAACCCCTTTCTTTTCCTTTTTGAATAAAGTGTAGGGATTGAGAGATAGTGACATGTCATGACTACTTTTTAGGTTTCTAAGTGTTGACGATAAAGACTTGGTGTGTCCTCATAGATTCGAGGACAGCACCGTACATGTTCCTTTTGATGTATGCATATATTAATCAAAATACAAAACCTACTACTGATCTTCTAGAATGGTGGAGCAATCACGGCAACGGATTTCCAAAACATCAACCGGTTGCTCGAGATGTGTTAGTTATTCAAGCATCTTCAGTAGCTTCAGAAGGCGCTTTTAGTGCAACAAGATTTCAAATTGGAGATCATAGTTATTCATTAGCAGCAGATAGCTTTGAGATATCAGTACTATTTAGAGATTGGATTAATGGCGAGAGAAGGAGTTATGATCGTCCAGCTTTACCGACCAAATTTGAAAATGATATTGATGAAATAATGCAAGATTTTAGTGACGACGACATTGATACATTGGAGGAAATATCTAATCAACCAATTCCAGATCATGTTACTAGAGAAATGTTAAATGATTTAAGAAAAGATTTCTTTGGTAGGATAACTATTAAATTTAAATGTCTATTAGTATGAGCATGATATTTTGAGGTCTAATTCAAACAAAATCCTTCCTAGAAGGTGGCTGTGTAGATTAGATCTTTTATTACTCTAATAATATTTTGTAAATCAAATTGTACTATTTAATTAATATTAATAAAACTATAGGCTATTCGCCTTAATTTTTTTTATTATTGTCTTCAACTTTTATAACTTATAAAATTTGAAATTTATACTTTTAAACTTTTAAAATTTGAAATTTAAACTTTTATAACTTTTAAATTTTGAAATTTAAACTTTTATAACTTTTAAATTTTGAAATTTCAATTTTTAAACTTTAAAAGTTTGAAAATTTGAAATTTATACTTTAAAAGTTTGAAATTTCAATTTTCAAACTTTTAAAGTGTGAACTAAACTTTTATACTTTTAAAGTTCAAAATTTAAATTTTTAAAGTGTGAAATTTAAACTTTTATACTTTTAAAGTTTGAAAGTTTGCATTTTAAACTTTAAAAGTTTAAAAGTATAAATTTTTAACTTTAAAAATTATAAAAGTTATAATATTATTTGGTTAATGTTCCTAATATTTTACTTGTAATAAGTAAATTCTTTTTTTAAAATGTAGTCGTTGGGATCCAATTTTCAGTCCCGGTACGGTACCGGTCCGGGACAGATATACACATAATTTTCTGGAACTACCAGTTCCGATCCGTCCCGGTTTCGGTACGGTTCTGCCCCGTGGTACCCGGTTCCATTCCGATTCGTCCCGATCCGGTAGTCCCGCTACCGATCCCGTTACCAGCCATAGTGTTGTTATTTTTCCTTTGACGAATCATGTTTGGTTAAATAAATTAAAAATTGTTTACAAGTATATGAATTATATCTTTGTTGGGTGTAAGATGAAGAAGTGAATATATGATTTCACAAATAGAATATATTCTTTAATTTTAATTTTTAGTGTTTTCGGTAAAAAAAAAAAAAAAAAACTTTCTCAGTTAACTATGGACAGTCAAATAATTATGTTTGATTTATCTACACAATTAATCAAAAAGTCAAATATGACAGCCAATAACAAGAACGTCATCTATTATGTTATAACTTATAAAAAAAATTAATATACAAAAAGTAGTTCTAAAAGATAAAATGTAGTTATTCTCTTCACATGTTCTTATGATATCTAAACAGTTTAACGTGGAATACACATGCACAACACATATGGTTAGATGACAAGAAAAATACACAATAAATATCATTTATAAGGTAATATTAGTGCGATACAACTAATTACATGATTGAACCTCATCAAATTGAAATAAATATATATAATATTGCATTTAACTAATAAATCCATAAATGTCGCCGGGGCATTCATCAACCCAAATGACATAACCACAAATTCATAGTGACCATACCGGGTCCTAAAGGCCGTCTTGGGGATATCAACCCCTCTCACCTTCAATTGGTGATAACCCGAACGAAGGTCAATTTTGGAAAAATAGCTAGCCCCTTGAAGTTGGTCAAACAAATCATCAATTCTAGAAAAGGGATATTATCCTTAATGGTCACTTTATTCAATTGACTATACTCGATGCACATTCTAAGAGACCCATCCTTTTTTCTAACAAACAACACGGGAGCACCCCATGGAAAGATGTTCGGTCGGATAAAACCCTTATCTAGCAAATCTTTTAATTGCTCTTTTAACTCCGTCAGAGCCATTCTATAAGGAGGAATGGAGATTGGTTGCATATCCGGTAAAAGGTCAATGCCAAAATCTATTTCCCGCTCGGGAGGAATACTGGGCAAATCATCGGGGAAACTTCCAGAAACTCATTCACTAACGGAACCGACTCTAGAGAAGGGGTTTTGGACTCAACAGCCATCACCCTAACAAGATGATAAATACACCCTTTGGAGATCATTTTCCTAGCTTTAAGACGAGAAACAAATTGACCTCTAGGTATTGAATTTCCCCCCTTCCACTCCAAGATAGGCTCATTTAGAAATTGTAATTTAACCACCCGAGTCCTACAACCGATAGAGGCGTAACATGCATGCAACCAAATACCAAAAACCACATCAAAGTCTAACATGTCTAACTCCACCAAATCCACCAAAGTAACTCTATGGGACAAGGAAATGGGACAACTTCTACAAACTCTTTTAGCCACCACCGAGTCACCAACCGGGGTAGAGACCAAAAAAGGTTCTACTAACACATCAGGGAATATTTCAAACTTCATGGCCACAAAAGGTGTCACAAAGGACAAATTAGCACCGGGGTCTAACAAGGCATACACATCATTGCAAAAGACTTTTAACATACCGGTTACAACATCCGGGGAGCTCTCTTGGTCACCTTGGGATTGAAGAGCATAGGAGCGGTTTTGCTTTTGAGCATTGGAGTCTGAACCGCTTGGAGGAGCTTGTTTATATTCCCTTCCCTTAACCTTGAGCATTGGACAATCTCTCATGTTGTGGCCAACCTTCCCACAACTAAAACACCCATCTGTACCAACAAGACACTTGCCATCATGTTTTCTTCCACATTTTGCACAATTAGGCCTAGCAACATAAGAACCACTACTATTACCTTCTTGAGGTTTAGGGTTGGAAACCCTATCCTTGTTGAACCTTAGAGCACTAGAGGAGCCTTTATTGGAGAACCTTTGTCTGAACCTTGGTCGACCTTGTCCATCAGACCTAGCATTGGAGAAGTTCCCGTCACCGGTTTTATCTCTTTTCACCTCTTTATTCTTTTTCTTGAGTTTTGATTCCTCAATTTGTTGAGCATACACCAGAAGCTTTGACATATCCATGTCATGAAGGAGAATTGTCGTTCGGCATTATTCTTGAACCAAGTTGGACACACCCGTCAAAAATCTACTCATCTCATCCCTCGAATCGCCACCATAGATGGAGCATACTGGGATAGTTGGGTAAATTTCAAGGCATACTCCTTGACACTCATGCTACGTTGCCTAAGGTTAATGAATTCTTCCACCTTAGCTTCCCTCAATTCTCGGGGAAAGAATCTATCAAGAAATGCCAATTTGAATATTTCCCATTCAACCGGCCCGCTCCTACGGGTCTTCCCCTCTTCCATAGATCATACCATACTTGAGAAACATCCTTTAGTTGGTAGGCGGCTAACTCCGCCTTCTCTTGCGAAGACACTCCCATAATAGCAAGAACTTTATAAACTTCATTGATAAACCTTTGGGGATCCTCTTCCAATTTAGAGCCATGAAATTCTGGAGGGTTCATTCTAGCAAAATCCCTAACCCTAGAAGCAGCCGAATTCACATTAGGATTCACCGGAGCTACAACTTCTCTATTGTCTTGAGCCGTCACGACTTGAGCCAACATTTGGATGGTAGACATAAACTCCGCATGATTCACATTCTCAACCACGAGATCAACCAGAGCTTGGTTAACTTAAGGAGATTTATTACCTTGAGGAGCTTTCTCATTCACATTGACACCCTCCATTCTTCTAGTGTTAGCCCTTTATGTGTTCATATCCTGATGACACAAGAGAATGATTAGAAGAGGGACTTTATAGAGTTAAACCCTAAGGCACGACTTAAGAGTAATTAAAGAAGTGACATTTCCTAAACATCTAACCTCTCATTCATAAGTATGGTGCGCTTCAAACTCATGAACAAGACTCTACTAGACGTGGCTTATGAGACATCATCCTAGAATCATTCTAACCTTGTGCTCTGATTACCAAGTTTGTCACGACCCAGGGGTACCCCCTAGATGTAACAAGGCACATAGAACCCCGAAAGGCTCCATGTAAGCCACTTAGCATACCACAACATAAGCAATAGAACAATAAGAGTAAAAACGCATTTCAAGTCCAACATTTTTATAAAAGGAAAGAGGAAGTTTAGACTTGTCTCAATTAGCCATCTATGACAATCCTTAAATCAAATAGGGTCACAGCCCTTATAGCATAATCCAGAAGTCAAATACAAGAAAAAGGAACTACAAAGACAACATCCGTCTTCGAACCATGAGGACTCACCACAAACAAGGAGAAATGAACAAATCCAAGCTCTAGCCACAATGGGGACCACCTTGAGAACCGTACCCTACACTTGGAAAAAATGTAGGAAAATATGGGTTAGTACAAAAATGCACTAAGTATGATAGTCATGCATAAAATCATGAAAACATGCCAAAATGGACATTTTAGTTGAATGTATGCAATTTACTAAGTTAGAGCATCATTTGGAAGATAATGGAAAATCATAAGTCATAAGTATAATCAACTCATAGATCATCATACCATAAGAGGAAGCTACCATAAATACCCTCAAAGCATACTTGTGCAATGCATGAATAAGATCCCATAATCCCACCCATACTAAGTAAAGCTTCTTGAGTAACTATAGTTCATAATTCATATTCTTGTTCATACTATCATAAAGGGGAAATTATCCTTAACCGACATAGACCATGTGATCTTACCATGGAATTTGGTGTCTACCCCACATCGAAAAAGGGTTGTCCTACTTGCCTAAGGTAGAACTATAATCTTAGCTTAGGTGGATCCACCAACTAAAGACCTATGTGGGCACATAGTTTATGGGATAAAGAGATTTCTTCTAGAAACCCAAACTCAACTAAGGTAGAAGGTTTTCATCTCAAGAGATATATACTATGGGAACCCGAACTCAACTAAGGTAAAAGGAACTCGTTTGAAAAGTCGGACTCAACTATCGTATTAGCTTCCATCTCATATTCATATCCACTCGGTGCTAAGCATTAATTCCCATAGATTACATATTAAGTCTTGACTTAAGTGCATATTCATGGAAGAATGTTTTGACACTGGATCCAACATAATTCATACTATGACTCATAGATTCAATAGGTGAGAATAGAATTTCAACCTTAGAATCATCATATTGTGAGAACACCTTTCACATCATACCATATTCATACATAAGTGTGCACATGAGGACAACCTCCAACAACACAACAACTAGATTATAATCATATTAACTTTACTCTCAAAGTGTTCTTAACGTGTATACATCAATCTCATAATCATGCATAATTCTCATACTTTTCCTTTCAAGGACAAAAGATCATATTCAATCAACACATCTAGAATTACTACATTAGACATGGATATAATCATAATTCAAGTAACCCAATCACTACATACATAATTTCATACCATTCTTCTATAATCAACAAACCTACATCACAAGATCATAATTGAGAAAAATGGGGAATTCATGGGTTCTTGGGTGTTTCAACATAAAAACCATAATAATTCATCAATTCAATCAAATATAATGTAATTAAAGAATTGGAATTTGAAAGGAACCCATGACTTAGAGACAAACCCTAGATTTTAGGGAATTTCTATCTTTGAAATTGGAGTTTTGAAGGGACTCCATGGATGAAGGACTACCATACCTTAGCAATGGAATCCAATGGAATTGAGTATAAAAACTTGCTCCTTGAACCCTAGCCCCAACTTGCTTCTTCTTCTACTTCCTTGAAGTTCTAAAGAGAAAATTTAGGGAGACGAGATGAACTTTGGGAAAATATTTGGGTGTTGTGAAAATATGACTTAGTTTAGGTGAATTTGAATTTAAAATGACTTATATAGTGACCCTAAACTTAACCAAAACGACTTCACTTTGATAGGACTCAAAACAGAATTACCCAAAACACCCCTCACTTAAAGTGAGCTACTAAGTGCCACGAGGGGCTCCACGAGCCGTGGTCCCCTTCGTGGACTTGAGGCAGTGGCTTGGGCAATATGTGCCCTTAGCTCACAAGCCCAAGGCATTTTCACGAGGGACTCCACGAGCCGTAGTCAAGGCCACGAGTCGTGGTCCCTCTCATGGACCTTAAGGCAGTGGCTAAGCCACTTTTCTGCACCAAGCTCACACCACCAAGGCATGACCAAGGCCACTCCCACGAGCCATCTAAGGCTTCACAAGTCGTGAAGTGGCTCGGGTGGAGGAGCAAATTTGGGGCAACCTTGGGGAGGCTACTACCTCCACCTTCACGAGTGTCACCACGACTCGTGGTGACCACCACTGATTATGAAGGCCCTCTTGGTCTTGGGGCAGTGCTATGCCAAGGCTTGGGCAGCCTTGGCCCTTGCCCCTTTGCCCTTGTCCCTAGGCCACCTCCATGACTCTAACCCTCAATTGTTTAGCTCTAGTTTTAGCCTACTAGTTTCCAGAGTATTATACGGAATCCATTATTCCCCTAGAAGGGTTGGGAGTTGACGAAAGTCTTACATATGAAGAGGTTATGGTAGAGATCCTAGACCGGCAAGTCAAGAGATTGAGACACCAGGAAATAGCTTCAGTAAATGTTTTATGGAGAAATCACTTAGTTGAGGGTGCTACTTGGGAGGCCGAGGCCGATATGAAGTCCTGATATCCTCATCTCTTTCCTTCTACTCATATTCAAGCTTTAGGTAAGTAGTTCCTCTTGAGTTTTAGTGTTTTGGGAGTCGTGTGTGTTATATGTGTATTTCCATGATTTCCTTATATTATGCGTGTTCTTGAGAACATGTTTAGTAAGAAAATGATTTTTTATGATTGATGTTCCTCATGTTGTTGTGTATTGAGTATGAGTTGCATATTTAACTTCATGAGATGAATTGATGAACATGCTTTATATGTATATTCTTTTCTTAAAGGGAATGGCCTAATGGTTTCATGAGATTGTGTTGAGCATGCTTTAAAGCTTGGAGAAGGTAGTTCCTCTTATGAATATGAGAAAATGTTGAGTTTTCATACATAATGGGTTGTTAGATGTAGTTTCTACTTCCTTGTGATGCATTGATTATGTTTGAGATAGGGTTGATGTTTCCTCCTTTGAATTGTGCATTATTTTGATGTTTCATGCATGATGGCCTTCTAGTCTTAAGTCTTTATTTCCGTAAGGTGTCTAGATCGTCATTTGAGGACGAAAGTTCCCAAGGGGGAGATATTGTAACACTCGGGAACTTAGTAGGCTAAACTAGATCTTAACATGAGGGTTAGAGTTGTAAACGTAACTCCCCATACTTAAAAATAAAGGGTTTCGAGTTGGATCATCAAAGTATGACCCCTAAGGGCCAACCATGGGTCGTTGAAGAAGACCCTAGAAAACTATGTGGGCAGTGACCAATGAAGAGGACCTACGCCCCGTTGGTCCATCCACACCTCATGGGTGAGGAATCGTGGGTCGGTGTCCCAAAAATCAAGCCAACTACACCCATCCATGGTTCACCAACATGCCACGTGGGTCCATCCACAGACCGTGGTCATGGGATCGTGGGTGGTGAGCTTCAAACTGTTTTGAGAAGTTAGTTAGGGATACTTTGGGGTTTTGCGATTTTAATTAATATTAAGTGACGTAGTTTTAGCCTAAATTAGATCACCTATATAAGGATTTTATATCACTAAATTAAGTCTTTTAACTCATTCTTCCAATTCCCAAAAGAAAGACCTGAATCCTCTCCAAAAATTCTCTCTTTAGAAAACTCAAAGAAGAAGAAGAAAGTGAAGGCTAGGGTTAAAGGAGCAAGGAGCTTTACATAAAATTCTTAGGGCTTTGTGATTGAGGTATGGTGGTTTTCATCCATGGGTAGCTTTCACCCATAGAGCCCTCTCAAAATCTTCAATTTCAAATGGTAGATTTCCCAATTAGCTAGGGTTTTCTTCATTCACCATGGGTTATTTGATTTAATTATTTTAATGGTTTAGTTATGTCTATATATGCATGAATTGATGATCTACAATTCTTTTATGATACTTCCCATCTGAACCCATGCAAATCCCTATACTTCTCTAAATTGTGATCTCATATGTTGGGTTGTTGATTGAGAAAGAGTTGTTCTATCATCTAATGTATGAATTGATTGAATTACATGAAATTATGATGAAATCTCTATCTAATGCTTATGTTCTACATTTGGTGATTAATAATGGCTTTGAACCTTAGAAGGGCAAAGTGTGAGTTTATGTATGATCTTATAAACCATATGCAAATGTTTTAAGGGTGGTTTGAGAGTAAAGTGTCAATGTTAATTGTGTTGTTGTGTTGTTGAAAGGTTATTCTCATGAAACACTTACAAACATGATGTGAAAGGTTTTCTCACAAATAAAGGATTCTTAGGTTGAAAGGTTATTCTCACCTAATTGAATCAATGAATAAGAGCTATCCTAATGACCTAACTTGGATTGATGGTCAAGGACATTCTTCCATGAGATATGATTTAAGTAAGACTTAATAAAATATCATGTGGGAATTATGCTTAGAACCGACTGGATATTGACAATGAGATGGAAGCTCTCCCGTGAGTAGAGGTCGGGTTTCTAGAAGAGGTCTCATGAGAT